CGGGAATGTGGGTCAAACGAGGAGTCGCGACGAAACGAGACGGTTTCAGACGAGTCTCTCCCAGGAACTTCGATTCCTTTCCGGTGGGTTCCCTGCATCGGATCCTTTTCATCGCTCACGTCTGAGCCGCGCTCTTACCGAAATAATCGCGAAGAACAAGGCAGCGAACCCCCGCTAAAAGGATGGGGGCGTGCGTGCACCTTTCTCGCTCCTTTCTTCTTTTCGTGCGTGGGTGTTGCGCTCACTTGACGCACCGTTGTACGGCATAATACTTAATGACGGGGCCCGTCGAGCACCCAGCGAATTCGTCCACCGATCCGCGTTCCTCAAAGCGCACAATGTTTGCCCCTATAAAACGTAGGAAGTGGGACGTTCAAACGTTCGACTCCCGCTTACACAGCGCGTTCCTTTCCATCGTGTGCCCCCCTCCCCTCCCCCTAGCCGTCCCTTTTTCTCTAAATATTGCATCCATAAGTGTATCGCGTTACGCGGCGTTCCAGCGAATCGATTGTGTCGTCGTTGTTCGAGAAAGGCATTCTTCCTGCACGAGAAAAACGGCTGGTTAATTATATCAGAGTTATTGTAGAGCGCACGAAGGGTACCAACCCCTCGAGGTGCTCTAAACGCGTTCACCCGACTGGAATGCATATTATTAAAACATTCCGGACAGTTCTCTATCTCGAGAGCGTAGCCCACCATGGCTCCCGCAACCTCCAACGTTTCCATGGTGAACGTATCGCTCGAATTGCTTGGTCTCTCTCTCTCTCTCTCTCTCTCTCTCTCTCTCTCTCGTGCGCCGATAGTTCTAGCGGGAACATCAATAGCGGGAGTCGCAAGTGCGAAAATGAAGAGCGATATTCGACAGCCTCGAAATTACCGCTGTTTGACACTACTTAGTTACTTAGTTAGACACTGATAGAGCAAAATGAATCCTACACAATTCAGGAATGTGACATAAAACACGGAATATTCTATACATATTACTGATTAATAAAACGGAAGAAATTTTTGGGACAACCTAATATGTTACCTCCTAAACTAACGCCGAGTGAGTTCTGTGACACTGTCACCTTTTTTAATTCGAGATGATGTAAACTAAGGCCACCGAACTCTTCCCTGCACCTGACAGTTAGCGCGTTGGACTCGATGGCGAAGCGTTTTTTCCGCGTTTCTCGTTAGGGATTTCTTGTTAACCGGCTGACATCTCAATTAAGGTCGAAAGCGATTGGCTCTCGTCCCGCGAAAACGAGTCGTGACACCGCGCGACCGAGGATCGATCGATTATCACGCTCGAAACGTGATCGTTTTTCTGGGCGAGAGACGCGCTCGCGTCGAACCAGGGCGAAACCATCTCGGCCGAGCGCCTTTGAGTTCCGTAAAACGCGATGGGGCGAAGCAAAGGTGCGATAAGTAACACCTCCTCAGCGAAAGATAATTCGTTTATCGGGATTTTCGTGTCTACGAAGGGGTGAACCGTCGTCGAGAGACCGCGTTCGACAGTGCTCGCGCGAACCTACGTTCGAATAAACCCAGCTAACGCTGAGCTTTAAAATCGCCTGAAAAGAATATCTGGAATATAGTCGTTGGAAAATGTAGACAGAAGTAGTTTGAAGCAGTTACGCTTTAAAGTTGACAGTGTTAAGTAGTTTTAAATTCCTTAAATTTAAAAAGTGTTTCTCAAGGAAACGTTAAAAAATACTAATGAATCGATTCTAGAATGCTTCGAATAGACTGTTTTCCGCGCAGCAGGTGATATAGAGAGACAAGTGGGAGAGAGAGTCAGAGTTCGTACCCCTTTTTGAACCCCCTGGCCAATTAGGCTTCCGAGCAGAAGTGCACCAGGGCGCATTGCACGGCGATAGGATGATCGAGTGGTTCGATGGTATCGGCGTTCGCGTGCCAAGATCATGGTTAGGACACTCGATAGCCCGATAAGTAATGCACCCAGATAGGATGACAGAGGGTATACGGTGGAAAGGAGAGGGAGAGCGATTCGAGGGGAAGGAGAAAGGATCGGAGTCGCGGAGGATAGACGGAGAGAGAAGGGACTCTTTTGGAAGCACGAACGATCTTATCGTTGCCGAGGTACCTGGACCGGGCAATGAGCGTCCACTACCAAACGAATGGAACGTAGTCGCTCCTCGCGTGAACGACGAAAAAAGACTCGGGGCGCGCATCGGTCCGCGTGCCTCGACGAATACTTTTTAACGATATCGCCTTCCCCGAGACGTACGCGATTGCCTTGGCTACGAAATTCGTTTGCGTCCGGGGAACGTCGTTCACCTCGACCGACCGGCATCCGACCGGCTGGCTCGACCCCTTCCTTTTCCCTGAGAAGGGACGAGAGAGACCCTCGAGTTCGAACGCACGCTCGTTTGTTCGCTCGGGGATTCTAATTAGCCGCAGCTAATAATCGTGGCGCGCGGAACCAAACGAGTTTCGCCGATTCCTCGACCCGACGAGTCACCGATCGTTTCTCCTGTCGCAACCTGCGCCGAATCACCCAAGACTCTGGAGAACTGACGAATACGAACGACCGTGAAAATTGAAGTATATTACGATGTGTTACGAAAAAAGAGGGGGCGTACGTCACGATTTTAAAATTGTTTTAGGCGAAGAGATTGTTTTCTTGAACTAACATTTCGTTTTTTGCCGTGACGAAGGTAAATCGCGGGTTGCGCGTTATCAAACGAGTTCCGTCTCGATCCGATGATCAACGCGGACCATGGCAGACCCTGACCGCGTTCGCTTTGTATCAGGACGTCGTTTGATCTTCGACCACGTGGCACGTTGGGGTGACTACAGACCGAGCTACGCGGACGGGGTCGATGCGACTAATTGCCAGCTCAGCGACCACGTCAATGAAATCTGTGCTTCGGCTGATTCGAGCCGAGCCGAAGGAACGACAGAGGAAAAAGGACAACAAAGTGGACAAAGGGAGCGAAGAGGCGGGTAGGGATGAAACTTGGATCCAAGGGGAGCGGTGGAGCTCCCTTACATCCGCTCCCGTAATCGTGGAACCGACTCGGATCTTCGTGCGTCGACTATTATATCGAAAGCTCTCCTAATTGGCTACGGAGAATTGATTCAACCGAGAGAGATGCAATGGATAACTGTGTCTGGTGAGTATTTCGATTCGGGTACCTACTCCGCAACCCGGTCCCCCTTTGTTTCTCTCGTTTTAAGCGAGGATCCGATGGACTGGCGAGCCGCGATCGCGAATGTTTCTCGTTCGAACGAGCGACGAGGGAGATTATCCCGGCGACGACGGGAATACCAGAACCCTCGCCTGGCCAGACGTGGTCTGTGCGCGTGTGCGGAATTGGACGGAAACCAGCGAAGAACGGGAGAGACACGGTGGGGTCGAGTAGGCGGAAAGCAGAGTTAGGGAACGAGATAAACTTCAATTATGCCGATTGAGCATCCTCCAAGGGATGCTGGGTAGGGGAAGTTCGCTCCTCCCACTTTTCCTGCCACGTGATTCAGAGCAACCTTCCTTTCTTCTTCACGTCCGTCCGTCCTTCCTTCCTTCCTTCCTTCCTTCCTTCCTTTCGCACGTTCTCGCTCTTCATTCTCCCATCGGAACGAGGGAAAGATGGACGAACTCACCGAGAACTCGTTACGCCTGGTCGCTAGGCGGAGATGAGCAACGTTCTCTCTTGCATTTCTATCGCTTGTTCTGAGTCTCTAAGACTTCACGTTCCGTTAGAACCGCCAAAGGGTAATTGAATTTTGGTCGCAGCACTTGGTAGTATCAGAAGATTTCAGGGTAGTAACAGAAGAGTAAACAAAGTTTATGAACTGAAAAGGGGGCGAAGTTATAGATGGGTAGGAAGAGGATCCACGACGATTCCCGAAGGCAGGCGCAAACGGGACGTCCCGTCAGGAACTCGCGGCGAAAAGATTTCGACGATCGATCTCGCGGATGGAGACGATTCCGAGGTAGGAGGGAGGATAGTGAGGTGCAAAACAATCGAACCGTGGACGTTGAATACCTGTTGGTCCGCGAAGAGGCGTTTTCAGGCAATCCTCCGTGGGAGAGAGAAAAATGAACGGAGGAGGGAAGAAGCGAGACAGGACGACGGAATTGGAGAGAAAAAGATGGTCGGAAGTGGGAGGAGAGAGAAGGAGATGCAAAGGCAGCTCGTGCAGGCTCTCTCGTTCTCTCCCTGTCCGCGTCTGGTTTTCTCCATCTCGGTTCTCTCGCGTCTTTCCGTCTTCGTTGGTGGTTTCGCTAGCGATCGTCCATCCTCGTTCCACGGTTTGAATCTCAGGGTGGTGGCCGACGGTAGTGGTGGTCGCGTCCGGATGGTGGTGGCTATGGTGGGGGGGTAGTTGGTTCCTTCGTGCCTACCGCTCCCTATCTCTCCTTTCTCTCCCTATGGGAGGGCGAGGAGGGCCCCCGTAGCCGCGCACTGCGCACCGAGTTCATCATAGACAGACCGATCTCCCTGACAGCTCCTCGTCGGGCTTGAACGGAGGTGGAATCATCAGATTCTGTCCATCTCTTCTTCGGCTCGCAGTAGCGTGTCGGGATAACGGAAGTGATAGCGTAGGCCCCGCCGTGGTCTCTTTCTCGCGAATCTTCCTGCCGTCGCACTCGCGGCCGCGACGTCTCGCTCCCTCTCTTCGATCTTATTTTACCCTCCGCTGCACTCCTCTCCCCCGACTTTCAATCCATCTTCCTCGACTTCCTCGATCGCGCTTACCCACCTTCGACTTCTTTTTCGCCTTCGAGGTTCTCTTCCGCCCGAGATTTCCTCCTCTTTTCCACCCCTTGTTCGCGGTCACTCCCCCTGTGCATCTCGATCGGTCTCTCCAATTGGTCTACTCGACCGGTCGACCTTCGACCTCCTCGGATTCGGTCCGGCCCGGTCCGATTCGATTCGTTCACCGCGATCGTTATCGGGACTCGAGCGGGCATAACCACGGCGCGGCGTTCCTTATCCCTGGTACCGACGACAACGACTCGCGAAGGAAGTTTGCTATTCGACTGTTTGCGCGACGAAACGATAGCCGCGGTGGTTACGCGCGCGAGCGGGAGAGAAAGACGGAAGGAGACCAACGGTGGAAGAGGAACACGAGCCGAAGGAGGGGGGGATGTGTGCGTGGGAGGAGTAAGAGATCCCGGAGGGCGACTTTTCTTTTATTTGAGCTTGACACTTCGCCGTGAACGCGCGCACACACCGGAAGTACGGAGCCCGTACCGTCGGTCTTCCTCTTTTCCTCCGACGCATTCGCGCGCGCCTCGTTCGCGATACGAAATCGGGAGCACCAGCGAACCGAGAGAAACTCGACCAGCGAGCGGTCTTGGACGCCGTGGAGGGTGCAAGGACGACGGACAGAATGCCGCGACACCTGAGACCGAGCACGTTGCGCAAGGGTGCCGCAACGTTCGTTTCGGTGATCGGTAGAGGATAAATCCCCAGGAATTCCTCCCGCTGGATCTGGAACTGTGATAATCCGTTGGTGGGATGACGTGGTACGTACGCGACGATCGACAGCGGATCGAGGAGTCCCGCAAAAATGTTTAATACCGACTGCGAATCGGTGCAACGTCCGCGACTACAGTGTCAGTGAAGTACGAGGACTCGGGAGAAGCTTCCGGGGAACGGAGTAGAAGTTCCCGCAGTATTCCAACAGTATTCATTTCTCCAAAGACGGGAACACGCGTACACCAAAGACGCTCCACGAAGTGCAACCAATCCTAGGAAACGACCACCTTAATCGGCCGCCGGCGTTCGAGCGTTCCGAATTCTAGAACGTATTCTGAACGTTGCAAGGTTTACCGCACAGTGACTATCGGTGAACCCATCGATGGTACGTACACGACAGACCGATAGCCTGTGAAACGTCTCGTGCAGAAGTACCGAGTGAACAGGTGCTTAGACGACAGAGAAGAAAAGGAAACAAAGGCCAAGGAACGGGTTGAAATTCTACGACGGTCAAAGAGCACGTGCCTAGAGGCTACCAACGGTACGTACTCGATAGTTTCGACCGCTAGCATTCGAGGTACATCGGACACGAGGTACTCGGAACGGCAGAGAGGAGAACCGCCGCGAAAGGAGGCGAAGAGATACGACGGTCAAAGAGCACGCGCCAATCCTAGCTAATTCAACCTAAACGGTACGTATCCGATAGTTCTGATAACCAGTGCGTAGCGACCGAGTGCCAAGCGGAGAGCCGCGTACTGTGGGAGCAGAGAAGAAGAGGAACGCCTTGGAACGGGGTGAGAAGCTGCGACGGTCGACGAACCGTTCGATCGTCATCGAGGATATTGTGTCCTGGGGTAGTGTTTCGGAGCGACCCCTCGAAGCGACGAAACTGGAAGCTCTCGAATCGTACGGAACGTCAAAGCAGAAGCGCCGGTGCCCGGGGCGAAGAGGAGTCCTCGACGCGTGCCAGGCTGCTGATCACAGGCACCGCGCCGGAGACGAGAAGAGTAGGAGAGGGATTCGAAAAAAAAGCATACAGAAACAGAGAGAAAGAAAGTGAGACGCGGCATCGTCTCTCGACCGAGGGGTCCTTCCGTTCGGGTGCTAGGGGTGTGCAGCCCTGGACGAGGGGTCGCACTCGACTCTTTTAAAGTGGGCAAACCGCGCAAAGAATAAGAGACGTCCTCGGGGCGATGACAGGATGCCTCCTTCTCGATCAGGACGTGTCTACGAAGGACCACCGTCTAGGATCACCACACGAATCGGGCCCACCATCGCCCTGTTGCTGATTCTCCTCGAGAATCGTCGGTGAGTACCAACATCCTTCCCTCCGGCGCGACCGAACGGGTCTCTTTTATCTTATCCTTTCACGTTTGTTATTGCGACGGGGACATCGCCGGTGTCTGAACGTCCAACGAAATCATTCGCGTTCGATATCGCCTTCGAGCGCAGTATATTTGTTTATACCTCGCGCAAACTGGACGAAAGAGCGGGTCTGTCCATCGTTCGAAATCGGCCACGCGATTTTAATTGGATCTCTGATCACGTTGACCATATATTTTGCGTCATTGATACGCTGCGCGGTAGAGCACCATCTGGTAATCGAGATACGACTCCTCTTTCTTGTCATTTTTTTTGAAGAATCAAATATTTAACATTGTACGTTGGAACTTTAAAGCTATCCTTTCGTACGATATCGTAAGAAGTATTTACCAGATTTACTCGAAAGCTGAATACGTCACAGAATCGTGGTATCAACCACGATTTACTTGAAAATAGTTGAGTCGACAACGTATGTCGCTAATGGCTCTGACGCAAAGTAGAAGACACGAAGAATTAATAAAATAGTCATAGTCGAGAACATGACGTAGACATCAATTACCATTCTATCGGGCATTTGTACAAGCCTCGAGCGTGCTAACCATAATTGGAGTCTTGGCGCAACCGTTGGAAGCAATTGAACCCGCTAGATAACTTCTAAACTCGCAGGTGCACAATTTAAATGTTGGCACGCGTCAAATCAATTAAAATCACGTATCGGTTTCAATCTACGCGTATTGTTATCGCATCAACTGTTTTCATTTGAAAGAATATTTTTTAACCACAGTTGACAGGGGGTCGTGAACGATCGAACGTACAGGAGTAGTTGCTTTTGCAAGGCGTACTCGCGTTAGAGGCCGTAGGCTATATGTACTAAATCATAGAGCAGGAATGACAGTGTTCATAGAACTGAGTGAGTCAAGATTTCAAACTGCGGCAACATTTGGGCCGTTTAATCCTTTCTGTACGCGATGCAAGGAGCGATGACTACAAGTCCTAAGGAAGAGGGTGTCTAAGATGACGAAGACAACGCCCGAGGAAGGATAGAGAAGAAATGGGAGTCATGGACGCAAACTGTCGTGACCAATTTCGTTGAGAAAAATTTATGAGCACGATGGTGGCGCGACTCCCATCGGCTCTCCTCCTTTTCTCCGCTCTCTTTCCGCCTCTTGCGGAAAGAATCTGTCAATAGAGACGCTCCGTCGAGGCGGCGGTCGCATCGACGGCTCCGAGACAGAGCACAATGACTGAGTGCAAATAGGCCTTTTCAACCGGCTCCGTGGCACGAACAACGAACGATCCCGCTGTGATCTTCATTATGCCTCCCCGATCTCGCTGCGCTCCTCGTTCAGCACTGTGTCGAACGTCCTGCACGCTCTAATCGAATCTTTCTCTCGCCAAAGAATCGCCGGGCCGTCCGGTTCGTCTCGCGCGAGTAACATTCTTTGGCCGTGGCACTCGCGATAATTGAGTCGAGAAATGCTCGAATAGTCGGGAAAAATCGCCGGGACGAAAGGAAGGCTCGGTTCCACGAATCCTGATAAATTCCACGGCGCGTCACCTTCTCGTTTCCGAGAACACGACCCGCGCCTGTCTTTGCGCGCAGAAAGGGTAAACATTCCGTCGACTATCTGCGACTATGTTGTGTCTCAGAGATACGTGAGTCTTAGGGGCATACGCGATGCCTCGTACGACCAAGGAGGAGTCGCCGACATGCTCTCCTTGGTGCCCACGCGCGGCTCCTCGTAAATAATTACAAACAGCATCCGGGAACAAGGCCGTACGCGCACCGACACCCTCGTCCCGTGCACGCACGTTGATACACCGGCATAAACGATAGCACGCATCGAGTAATTATTATCTCGAACTTACGAGTCGTTCGTTACAAATGCTACGGGAGTACTTGTTGACCTCAGGCTAAATTTCTGCTAGCAACGTTTATCCTCATAAGGTCCAACCGATATTCGAATTTTAATGTGTTTGTTGGAAGTAGAACGTTCATTCGAATCATGGGGATATTCTTTCGAGTAACGACCCGCGGAGTGACTCCGAAGCAAAGTAACGGTGGTCTAGAGCTGAGCGTGCTATCATTTCGTCCACGAATGGAGGCACGCGCGCTCTTCAATGTATTCTCGCGGAACGACATTGAATTACGGCATCGAATAATTCTCGCGACGTAACCCTCGATAAACCAGTTTGCGCGACACGAGCGCTTAGCACCCCGACGCCTGCTGGTGCACCGATTCCGGTTAACCCCTTCGTGTCAGCACCTGCGCGGAGCGGACATTCTGTCAATTCTAATTGAAATCGAGCGATTCAACATCGTGGTGAAAAACCGCATCGTAAGATGGTTGCAAATGTTAACCCAAGCTTAAGAAATATTCTCTCGTCTTTTTGGATGGTTCCTCGTCGTGGACTCGACGACTTCCTGGCCACGATCGGCCTCGAATGCCGCTGCACGACCAAAGGCAGCCGATCTCGCGCGAAAACGAGGGAAGCAAAGGGGATTCGATATCTGCCGCAGGAATTCTCGCGGGTCAGTCGTAACGAGTTCTCTCTCCGCGGGTATACCTCCATTAAACGCGAAATTCCGTTCCGTGATTCTTTCTCTCCCCTCCCTGCACTCTTTCGCATCCGTTTGCTTGCGAACAAGTTGAATAAAATGCGTGCATCCCCGTCGCCATCTTGGATTCTTCGGCGACCCATCGGATCAACGATTCTTAACCTTTTCGTGCTCGCGACGCGGTTTATAAGAAGGAAGAGGGCTAGATTTTCGAACGATGAATTTAAAATACTTTACAGAATCGTCGTGTATATTAGAACAAGAAATCATCGAATCACCGAAGTGGAACATCGCAGAAATGCGACCTCTGATTTGCTCGACAATTTCTCGCCACTTCGGAGAATCGGATTCGGAGATAGGAATACGATCGGTCCTGCTTATCGTTTTCTCCGCGCACATTAGGTCACAAAAAGCAACGTGGCTTTATTCGATACATAAACTGGTTGTGGGTGAATAGCATCCTGTTATTGTTTAAATTCTCCTTGCCCATTAATATAAGATAAAAATGTAGATAAAAGGCAGTTGCGTTCGTCGGGGAGTGAATTCGGTGGAACGTAGAGCCTATTTATAAGACAGAGATGCGTCAAAAGAAACAACCGATGAATTCATTTCGTTGATTAACCGCGCATATTTTGCGACCACGTGGAACGCAAATCGACCTACTCGGTGTGTCTAAAAAGAATTGCGCGTGACATTGCGAAAGAAGGAGCGAGAGAGAACGTAAAAGCAAAGGGGAGGAAAGGTAACGCAGGAATCCGTCGACGCGGTCAGACTTCCACAGGTACGCGACGTCTTCGGTAATTTGTTTCGGGGAGTTAAGATCATTAATCTGCTTTCGGTAGATCATCAATAGCGCGAAAGATAGCAGCGGTGCAACGGTGTATCGGTAATGGGAGCCCTCAATAACCTCTGCGACCCTAAAATCTTGGTCCTCCTCCGCTGTCCTTTCCCACACTACGCGAGAAACCGAGTTGCCAGGACCTTCCCTCCTTGCCACCCCCTTCGCCCGCGTCCGTATCCTCCGGATACGCTCTTCTTCCTTCGTTTTCTCCCTTTTGTCCCCGGAGATCCCTTTATATCTCTCATTTCTCTCTTTTCCTCGTTCACGCGGGTGCTATACACAGCTTTTACTTTAGGAGAAGCTCGTCGGCTAATTTGTACCCGCAGATAACCACCGACCCACCGAGAATCTTGCACCCGTCCGTGACACATCCTCCGAGACCCCGAAGGACCTCGAGAACCCTATCCCCCGAGAAAATTGACCATTCCTGCTCGCCGCGACCAAATAAACGAGCCTCGCGACCAGGCACCGAAATCTCTCTCTTCCCGTCGACGAATGATGCTGCAGAGCTCAAGGAGCTCAGATGCTCTAGAGTTTAAGGGCTATCCGGATCCGGACAATCATTTTCGAAGAATCTTTTTTCGAATTACTATAAGAATTGCAATAGATTTTGTCCAGACTCGGAACTATTAACCCTTTGTGCTCGAGCCCTTTTTTTCTGCTATCTACCATCAACTCGAGATGCTTTCTCAGCATTCTATTGTCACGACTGCTAAGCTTAGATTAACTTCGAATATGTAGCCCAATTCGTGATCGCAAACTAATTTGAGTAGAAAATGTAAAAATACTCAGCCACCGTTCCCATAAATTTTCAGCGCCCTTCGGGTGCGCTTGCTCCCTGCTTTTTCCTTTATCTGAAAATTAATTAACACCCGGAACCTCGTGATGCGCCGCCATTAGGCAGAAGCTGTCGCTTAAGATAGCGGTTTAAGAGCTCTTCTTCCGAGAGGTGAACAGCGTTATCGCCGACGATGCGAGAGGGCAGCAGACGGGGGCTGAAAAAAGGGTAACGGGGAGGCGACCGATACGATAGGGGCAGATGGGGGGGGGCAGGGGTAGACAGGAACGAAGAAAAAGGCGAACAGATATATTCGAGCGGCTCTTTGAGAGCTATCGCACCTTTCGACCCCGGCCTCGTAAAATTGCCTAAAGGAAAGCAGACGCGCGCAAGATGCACGCGCGCATTAAAGTGCACGGTGCAGCCGGCTCGCCCTCGAAATTTATCGACGATTCACGCGCGAGGACGCGTCTCAAAGGGGTACGATTCTGTTGCAAAATCCCTCTTGCGATCGATGTCGTATCTCGCTCGCTTGTCTTCTTCAAAGGCATCTACGAGCACTGTTCCCTCGAATGCAAACGCGACACTTTAACCGAGGGTGAACGGCAATTTTTATTTCGAGCCAAAGCCGAGACCAGGTGCGAAAATTGCGAACGAAAAGCAAATCCAAAGGGCAATCAATAGAAATTATGCGGGCTGCTGTCGCGTTCGCGAGACGTAACGAATGTCCGTAACAACTCGAACCAACTGGGTGGTTGCGGAGAGATTCCGATCCGTTGGTCGATCATGGTCGCTGTAAGTTTCGCTTTGGATGCAAAACATTCGCAGCTCGGGTTTGTGGAAACGTCGAAGGCGTGGCGGGGCTACTTAAAGGCACGGTGTTCCTTTAATCGGCGATGAATCCGAAAGCAGCCGCGCTCGCGATCGGGAATTCGATAAAACGTGGTCCTTGCAGTGTGGTAAAGGGGAGCACACCGCGAGGGGCGAGAGGGATCGGAAGGAGATCGTGGCCGTAAGTACGAGGAATGTCTCCCGGTGGATTCCCTGGAAGCAAAATCACTCAAAGCGATCGAGAACGCGTGCGATCTCGTGGGAAATGCTTGCCAGACGAAAGAATCGTTCAAGGTGCCGTGTCGACGGAGAACTTTAATTGGTAAATTTCGTTTGATTTGCAGCGCGACCTGCTTAATGAGCAACTCTGTGGACGATTGGGCGAGCGGGAATGCCGTGGTCTGCAAGGGCATCATTCCAGGCCTGTCGAAGGAGCAACGCGAGCTATGCCACAGAAATCCAGACGTGACGGTGGCCGCGATCAAGGGCTTGCAAATGGCTATATCGGAGTGTCAGCATCAGTTCACGTGGCACAGGTGGAACTGTTCGTCCCTAACGCCCAGCAGTAGAACGGAGCAGAGCAGTGTTCTTCTTCAAAGAGGTAAACGATGATAAAAGTGTGCAACATACTCAATTGGAGAACACGATGACAGTCAAACTTTGGAGGAACATTTCTTACGACTAGGTATCGCTTTGCAATATTTTCGTCGGCAAACGGTACCAAGAACAGAGCTGTCTAGGTAACCCGGTCGAGTCTTCGGCCTCCAGGTGTAAGGAATGTTTCCCTAAAGTCTGAACGTATTATCGTCCACTCGGAATATTCGTTAATTCGTTTTGGAAGATAAGATGAAATTCATGCAGCGGAGGGTTAAACGGCCGCGAGCATAGGCTGAGCACGCTTGATCCCTTGGACCATCGCGAGAGGGAGACGGGGCAGGGGGCCAGGAAAGGTGAAATCTTTTACGACGTCGTTGACGTCGACGAAGCGGCGTAGGCGAGAGACGGTGCGCGCTTCCTTAAATCAGAATACGGTGTGTGCTCGGCTCCTCGGTTGCGGGCCAGCTCCGAGAACCTGTCCCAAATCCCTGAGAGAAAGGAAGATCGGGGACGAGGCGAGACGAGAAAAGAAGAGATTGCCCCCTCGGCTGTCCTATTCCAGTGTGACATATAAATTCGTCGTGGCGCGTACGTGCGTCGAAAGAGGAAACATATATCGTGTCGGACGAGTGCGCGAGAGCGCGACATCGAGCGCACCTGACCTGAAAGCTTAACATCCGTCCGTCCGCAGCCACGATCTCGGTGCCCGCCACGTCTGTCTTCGCGTTATCTGTCTCCGTGGATCGGTACACCTTTTTTTGCTCAACCGGTCAAGAAGAGGTGTCGATTCCACGACTCTTTTTTCCACCACGGAGCCGTTTCAAAGAACGAGTCGACGCAAGGAAACGTCTCCGAGGCTCTGGACGCTGATGGACCTTGGAATACCGAGACCAGGGATTGCGATTCCGCGGGAACACAGTTGACAGTTGAGATGTTCTTTGTAAAAGAATATCCTGCGAGCTATCAACCGTATTCCTACAGAGCCGCAACGACTGGCTCCATCCAGAGATTTTTCCTCGTCGAAACGTGACTGCAGGCAGATTTTTTCGACGGGAAGCACCGGCGGAGGTCGATCCGCCGATTATTCGAGGTACCGGGTCGATCGTCGTCCTGAGTTTCACTCCGAAGTCAGAGGGCAGCAGCTTCCGAGAAACGGACCGTACTTCACCATTACCAACGGTTCCGCGCGGCTTTTTAAGGACGACATCGGTGGGCCCAGGTGAGGGTCCGCGGTCGTTCGAGAAATCCACCGTGTCAAATTTGTGCTGGCTGCGTATCTCGAAGAGAACGCGCGTCGTTAAATCTCTCGGTCACGGTCCTCCTGCCCTCTCGTTGCTCCTTCTTCCATTCACCTCCCCACAGCCCTCTTCGGGGCCCCTTCCTCCCGTCATTCTTTTGCCACGTATTCGTTAAACCTCGGCAAAACGACTTAATGTATTATGAAATGTACACGAAACGGTCCTCCTCCGCCTCCACTGGCCGTCTAAAAGGCCCGCACAAGGCGACCTACTACGGGACACGATACCCGACATTCGCTTCCTCGCGACGACGAACGATGACAGGGTTTACGGTTATAAAGGCGCGATAGGATTTGCTCCGTGCTACGAATGACACGGAATTCCTTCGACGACGCCGACGTCTACTAGATCAGGGGAACCGTTTCGCGTCCGAAAGGCTGCGCGTTGATTTATGGATACCTCGGAGGCCACACGGTTCGTGTCTAGCAAATCTTTTCGAAGTTACAAAGAAGCGTGTATTCGATACGGCGGAGCTAAAAAGTGAAAATCCTCTTCTTAGTTTCGTGTATCGCGAAGGCCACGCGAAGCTGATTAGAATTGGGCAAAATAAAAATGCAGTGTCTCCCAAAGTGTAACTCTTTCGCTTATCAGATATTGGTACAATAGGAACGTAGATCACGAGGCTCTACCTAAGAAGGGATAAGCGTTAAGGTTGGTCCTGTGCAACCGAAAAGAAGGCACACGCTCCCGTAGACGTTAGCTGCGCGTACCCGACGCGCTATCTATTGAGTTATCTAAACAGTGATTTGGGCTTGACACAGGGTAGCAGGGCAAGGATCCGTGCGCCATCCGTCACCGCGTCCCTGCGTCAAGGGCCGAAGAGTAAGGAGGCTGTGCGGGCCTCTCGCGCACCTCAGCCTCATTCTCCTCCTGCCTCTACCTCGGCTTCTCTCCACTGTCCAGGAGAAGAGACGTACAACTCCCCGTGGACGATTTATTACGAGTCCCCGATGCTCCTCTTACCATCGTGCAGTAGCTGCAGCGACGGCAGTTGCAGTAGCTGTAGCCCTCCAGCAGCTATCTGCATTATAAAACAGTTGCTGCCAATAGCCGTATAAAGCGTAAGCTTTCAGAAACCCCTCCTACCGCGAGGCCATATAAAGAGTCGTGTTTTCGTTCCCTCTCGTCTTGGAAGCCGGTCCTCGCCGCACGGAGAAGGTTATCATCCTTCGAAACGGACCGGCCGATATCTTCCGCTTCCGAATGCTCTGGAATACTCCTCGACCCGGGGGACCGCGACGGGAACCGTGTCGACGTTTTTATCGCGGCAGCCATCTCCAAAAAATCTGCTCGATTCCCGAGGCCGTGGCGAGGCTCGACTCTTTAACGTCGCCAGGTTTCGTACGATCGACGAAGGGCGACGTAATCGACTGCCGCCTGTCCAATCTCGCTACCCGAAGCAGCTCGTCCTGTCGATCGGTCCGAAGAAAGACCAACGAATCGCTGCCGCCGGAATATCCGCAGAAGTAAAAGGAGACGTTCGGGGAAGCGCAAGTTCCGCGTATATCGGCCATCGGGCCCTCTCGAAGACCGTGAGAGAGGCCTGGATCGCACAGCCACGGCACATCGAAAGGAACCTTCGCGTTATCGCGCTACGATATTTTTCGAACGAAGGAAACTTGAATTAATCGCAACAGGCACGTCTCGTTAAAGAATAAAGACGAAATTAAGCAGGATCGTTGGAAACCGTTTGTTCTTGCGGCCAGGCCCTGTCGCGAGTCGCGTTCGAAACACGGATTCAAAACGGAAGGAACAAAAGGGGTGGTCGTTGAAGGGGGACGGCGCAACGACAGCGCGCAGTGCCTCATCGGGTGTCGAGAACGAATACCACAAATCCTTTCGAATGTGCCTTTAGCGCGTCTCCCCGGTATCTCGGTCTCATGAATACTGCAAATACCGCCCGGTATCTGTGGATTGGAGTAGCTCTTTCCGAAGGAGGGACGGAGGGGTAGAGTAATGTGTGGGCATTGTCGAGGTAGTCGCGAGGAGAAAGGGACAGTTCGGAGCCGCGTATTCCGAGCCCGCGGGCAGTCGTGTGTCGTATCGTTTGTAAGTTGACAGCCACCATTGCGGTTTGACGATCGGCCATTCGTCAATCCGACTCCAGCGACGCTTCGGAGACGAGAGACCTTGGAGGTACCGAAGAAAAAGTGCGTTTGACGTCGCATTACTTATCGAAATGGTCCAGGGCCCCGAGCATCTCGTCCCTCGATCGACGAGTTTCCAAATTCTACGCAAGGCGGTCCGGAGTTAACCGATGATCTAGGTCGATCCAAAGCGACAATCTTCGGTAAACGTTTCGCTTAACTGTCTTTGCTTAGAGTTCTTAGGTGCATTGCTCCAAATCATACGATAACGAGCTTATCTATATGTTTATCTACCTGTCCATTCACCTCGACAGTATACGAAAGCATAGCGAATAGTCGCTTAATCCTTTACCGATAAGTTCCTGACATTTACGCCTACCTAGAATTGTCTGACGTATCGTACAACACTGGTCCTACACTTGTGTGTTATCTAGCGTCAACGCCTCCTTCAGCCGATTTCTCGATCTTACTTTCTTACAGTTCGCGACGTTCTCTTCTCGTGAAATTAAACTTGCAAAATATCGACGTCCGACGTCAGCGTCGCGAGACAAGATTCGATTTTCCCCGGATAGTGACAGTCGAAGGATGGCACGCAAAAACCCCCAAGAACTCGGGTATCGGTGGTCAGAGTTTGGCATTGCGTCTTCGGGAACCCCACCGAGCGATCGTTTATACATGCAGTCAATGGATGCCCGCCGGCCGCCGCTGCTGATGGCCACGCTTTGTTTTGACGGACGGCTGAATAATCTACCTCTGAACTTCGTCTGATGGCTGTCTGTCGGCCGATCCGTCGAACGATCCGTCGGTCTCGGCTACCGGAGCTCCTTCTACGGAGGCGAGGCTCCACGGTGTCCCGCTGCCTCCGACGTTCTCGTCGCTCGCGAGAGAAACGACGAACGCGATCGCCGCTGTCGCGACGCGTTGCGTATATTACTCTCGGCTCCGTGGGCTGGCGGCGTCACCGTGGACGAGTAGCAATTTGCTAACCGGTCCGCGTGTCTCGATCATACCCTACTCCCAATTGTTCCTCGTGTACGAAAAATTCCGCGAATGAGGCTGTTCGCCGCGGAAGACCCTTCAGATGGGTTCGGATTTTTGGGCACAGACGTTCCAATCCGATACCGTTGCTTCGGAGATTCCTTTCTAATCGATCCTACCAGTCTACATATGCAATCGTTGGTTTCAGGTTACCGAGAGACTGCGTTCGCGTTCGCGATTTCGGCGGCAGGGGTGGCGCACAGCGTGGCCCGCGCGTGCAGCATGGGCCGGCTGCTCTCCTGCGGATGCGACCCGTCGAGCTACAAGGGTAAGCCGCCTGCCAAGGCCAGGGGCACCCAATGGAAGTGGGGCGGCTGCTCTCACAACCTCGACTACGGCATGGAGTTCTCGAGACAGTTCCTAGACACGCGCGAGAGGGCCGGGGACATACAGTCGACGGTCAATCTCCACAACAATCAAGCTGGCCGCTTGGTAAGCCGTTTGATTAATCTTCCCTTTCAACCCTCCCTTCCTCTTTGTCTCGTGGCCCTTTCTCTACGAGTCTTGCTCTCTCGCGATGAATATTTCATTCCGTTGGCAATATACATCCCCCGACCGACGATTTCTGCTGGTTCCGGTGGTTCTTCGCGTTTTAACGGCGATCCTTGCCTCCTGGTTCCGCAGCCACGCGAAAAGAAAGGCAGTCGGCGAGAGAGCAAGGCAGAAGAAGGAGGCGGTGAATAGGGGTGGAGAGGAGTAGGAGAGCAACCAAGCCGAGTCCGTTCCTCTCCTCCGTACGCCTCTTCACGCTCGGTCTCGCCTCGACGTTATTAAGACGAGGCCCGGGGCTGGACCACCCAGCCGTAGACTCATTAACTGTTTGGTACGCGACACCTCTTTGTCTAAAAGAAATTGCACCCTTTCTCTTTCACCGCTGTTCGTGCGACTCTTGACCACTTACGCACGAGCACTGCGTGCACGGTGCTCGGATCGTTCCACGCAGGATCGATCGATATCAGGAAATTTGTGAGAAATTAATGTTCTCGTCATTTAATTTAGATAAATTTCTTTAATAGACGTAGAGGGTACGAATACTTATGAGACCGACTGTATATCCCAGACATAGATTCCATATTTTTCCCGTAGATTAAAATCTCCTTTCTCCCTCTCCGATGATTCGACAACCGATCGATGGTATTTCAGGCGGTGGCGAGCAACATGCAAGTGCGCTGCAAGTGCCACGGTATGTCGGGTTCCTGCGAGCTCAAGACCTGCTGGAAAGTGGCACCCGACTTCCGAATAGTCGGGAAGACGCTGAAGGATCGCTTCAGGAACGCGGTGTTGGTCGCGCAGAGCAACCTGGGCAGCGTGACCCCGTTGACCAGAGTCAGGGGATCGCGAAGAAGAAGGCCGGACCGTCACAGGCAGAGGAAGCATCGCGGCGGCGCCGGAAACGGAAACGCTGGTGGCGGACGCAAGAGGAGGCCTCGAGATCTAGCCAAGCAGCTGTTCTACTACCAAAAGTCGCCCAACTTTTGCGAGAGGGACCCGGCTGCCGACATCCCCGGCACGGCCGGTCGTAAGTGCAACAAGACCAGCTCCGGTGGCGACGGATGCGGCAGCCTCTGCTGCGGCAGAGGGTACAACGTAATAAGACAACGACGGGTCGAGAGGTGTAAATGCAAGTTTCATTGGTGTTGCTTCGTGCAGTGCCAGAACTGCACGGTGGAAGAGTGGATCACTGTTTGCAAGTGAACGGAACGCTGGATAATCGTTTCACCGCGGTTTCCCTCTCGCGAACGATCGAGTTCTTCGGCGCGCGACAAACGGGCGCAAGGAAGCGTGGGGTGCGAAGATTCCGACGGTCGCGAGCGCGACGGTACGCGAATCTTTCGAATCGAATACGACGCGTGCGTAATGGTCACGTGTAATCACGCTCGATGCACGGATCAAATCGAAATCACGGTGCGAACCGATGCTACGGATGCGATCTGATTACCAGTTCGGTCGTTACCCCGTCGTTGAGAATCGCGACAGTTCGATCGCCCGAGATGGTGGCTCTTATGCCACAACAACAAATGTTCAACGATAGGATCGAACGATTTGCTGAATTTTTATTTTTATAGGTTTGAATGTCTTTTATAAGCCAAGCGAATGGTTCGACGCTTTCGACCCTTTCTTTCCGAATTCTCTTAAGAAATTAGTTGCTCGAGTAATGTGGGGGGGTAACCTGACTTGCTGAGCACAATTAATTCAACGTTTAATTCTAAAAATCTCCCAAACCGTGCCGTGAGCTTCAAAAGGTTAAGAACCACTGGCCTAAGAGGACGATGCTCGTCGACTAGGACAAAATTAGTCGACAAACGGATCTGCGCTTTACGAACGCTGTATAGCTTCCGAGATCGATCGTACTGCGGTTGAGCAGAATTCACAATGAATAATCGGTAATCGCGATTATTAACGAATAATCGAGTACGATTAGCGTTGAGAGATTGCGAAATCACCGATGTACAGCTGCATATGTACTTCGCGATTGCTGATAAACTCGCGAGTGATTATTGTAAATGCAATTATTGCTCGGCTCTGGTACCTTAATTGTAAAACACTCGACGACGACCTGACAAGTAAATCCGCATCCGGATTCGGTGATCGTACTTTAATCGACGCTTAATAAACACGCGAGACGCGTCGCCCTGACATTGGGAGCTGGACTGGAGCACTTTGTGCTAACGACGCAACGGACGTAACTGTTCATGAACCGCGCGAGTAATATAATTTAATCGGTAGCTTAAGCGAGCCTATAATTTATTTATAACGTTGCTCTATTTAATTAGTAGATAATTTTAATATCCACACCAACTGTAACACCTCCGCCACAGTATTATTAGACGAAGCAATGCGCGTGTGTCTTAAGATTGCGAATGGATGCGATTGTATACAGCTCGATGATGCGCGTACAATAAAGAGTTCCTTCGACCGATGATTGACGAATTTATTCTTTCTCTTTCACCAGCGCCGTTCTAATTGCAATGTCGGTTGTTTAGACGATCGCGAATCGGTTACGCGAACCCAGAAATCATTCGAATTCGTAATGCCTGCGGACAGATTTACAGACGACCGAAGCCTTTCCGATACTTTTATTCCTTGCACCGGTAGATTTGTTCGGCCTTCTTTTTCATCGATCGAACGATAAATTGTCCAACGTTAAAACCTTGGAAAAATCTGTGCCAATCCCTCTTACATACCGTGCGGGGCGACCATTCCAACGGTAACGTAATGAAACTTTAAGAGGCGCGCTTTCGCGATTATCATTTGACTCTCGACTTTCCTTTTTAACCACTTTCCTACGGAGTATTCTTTTTATTTAAACAACGCGATATTTCCGCGTCTTGGAGTTTCGATACGTAGACAAACTTTAACGTCATCGATTCCAAGTATGGTTTCGTTTGGTTAACCAGGGATTTCCGAGTGGTTTCGAACGAATCGCGGAGAAGGGCTTTTACTCGTCGATAACACCGATAACGAATGAAATAATTATCTTTTGCGACCAAACGTATCGAGCGTCGCACGCTTGACTGGTCCAATCGACTCGCTGAAAGCCCCTGGAAATCACCAACGGTAAATTGGGTTTTCGAGTCTAGATTAGCTCCGAAATCAGACGAAGACTTGTATAATCGTATTTTGCGCGGGTCGGTGATCACCGTGATGTCAATCCCCGATAATCCAAAGCATCGGCATGGCAATTTTGAACAACTTCTCGATGCTCATGCTGTCGAATGGAGAAGTGAGTGAGTGAGTTTTATTTGTAAAGGTGCAAAGTCGTACTGGGTCTATTATAGCTCGGATACCTCGGGATTGCTAAGCCCGTGCTGCAGCTACGATCGAACATAGCTACAGCACCTGAGGGATAAGAAGAAACCTTCGTCTACGTGTTACCTTGCATTTTTAGGAAAGTAAAGTAATATTTCGTTAAAGTATAACGCACTCGAAATTTAAAGAGAAGTGACTCCATTCAAGATACCGTCGACAAGAAGGAATTTCGGATAATTATCCTAGCAGGATCCGTACGTTCGTTACGCTCGAAACCGATTGGAGCGGTTGCAAAGACAAACTTTCAAGGAAACGTCTGGAAGGAAGACGCGGCGGTGCGCGTCGCGGTACATACGACGCGTATTCGCATTAACCGCGGCTCCCTTTGACAACTACGCCAGCCAGGACGACCCTGAAGAAGCCGCGATAAAGCGCATTAATTTATCGCGCGACCCTCGGGAGATCTTTTTCAAGGCGCATCGATCCGGCCAACGAGATTAGAAGCTGGCGCACGACGCGACGCTTTTTACCGCTAGATACCGGTACTCGTACAATAAATATTTCCGGCTGAAGTAAATATGGCGGCGATACGCGCGCGAATTGAAACAAACCGATAGGTAGTAGCTTGGACCTAGCGTCTTTACGTCGAATAAACACCCGTCTCACCCCTTCGACACTAATTCGAATAAAAAATCGTCGAACGGACGAAGAGCCGTCGTTAGATCCGTGACAAGACGAACGAAACATTCCGCGACGGTTCGTTCGCGTGGAAAAACGAAATCCCGCGAAAAAGGGGAGAACGAAAAAGTGGAAAAGACAGATCCGCGAAGACAAAGAGAGGGTGTGTTGGGGCTGGACGACGATCTCGGGGACGAAATCAATGAGCTAACAGGCTTGCGAGTTAGCAGTTAGTTCATTAAGTCGGCGTTATTGGATCATGGAAGCCAAGCACCCCACCCCAGTGGCACCCCCTCGACGCAATCGTGACTACACCGCCCCTGCACGAGCGTCGTAGAGCTCGGCTCTTACTCCGGCACACAAGCATTGCGAACACTGCGAGGGTGGACGCCGCAGGGCCTGCACAACCTGCCAGACGTTTTAATTAGAGGTGAGTTTCATCGCGAGCCAACCTAAGAGCACCCAAGAACCCGTTACTTGTCCCTTACGAGTAAGTGTTTTGCACCTTCCGCAAAACCCCTTCGTTTCGTCCGTCGCCTAGATCTTACACAAGCCGAGTCCTCTCTGCCGCGTCGCCTACTCGGAAATCGAAAAGAAACCGTCGGGAATATCCGTATCCAACCATAACGGTCTGTGATTCGCGAGAATTCGTCGATTAATTTCGTCCCTGGGCGCGATTTTGATCATCGGCTAAGGAGATGTCTCTCGGGAGTATTCCTAGTTCAAATGATTCCGTATTTCGATCATCTTCCTAATGCACCGTTTTTTTTTTTACAATTGAAATAAGATTTGTCTCGTTTACGAATCTAAACTGATGGCTGATAAACGGTGGTTCATACTGTTTTACGACCGGTACCCTTCGGAGGCATTCCTCTCGGATGCCAACGATAATTTTGTAGTCGACCAAAGTGCGAGTAAATAACCTTACTTGAGATACAATTAATTAAAATGATAAGAGCAATATGATAAAAGGAGTAGAGAGGAGGGAAGTGCGATCGAACGAGACGACGAAGAAGTGAAAAGGGGAAACTGGAGGAGAGGGGGTAGGAACACGAGATACAGAGGAAACAAGTATGGAGGGGGAGGACGAGCGAGAAGAATGGAAAAAGAGAAAAGGTGGTGTATATACGCGAGGTGCTTTACGTTCCACGGTGCGCGTCTCGGAGGTGCCGGAACATGTGTTTCAGGATGTTTTGCCAGGACGCCGGGGAAAAAGAGAGAAACCCGTAAATACAGAGAGAACGGCGGGACAGGAGAAGGCTGGCCGAGCTGGTGGCAAGCGTAGAGAGGCGTCCGTCTCGCTGCGGCGCGGGTATCGGAGGTAAATCCAGGCAGGTGTCGTCTCGAGCCAACTTCGGTCGAGCAAGAACGACGAAGACGGACACACGCGGCCGTTCGACGGACGTATCGGTATTTCCAACGAGAACGGGACGCGAGACTGAGAAAAACGAAACGTCGCGATACATTGTGGTGTAGGACAAGACGGAAAGAGAGAACCCGGTGAGGTGGGGGGGGGGAATCGCAAGCCCGAGCCGGGAAGAATATAGCGAAAAGTTAAATGTTGCATGAGCTTCGGGGAAGAAGAACACAGCGGCGAGATTCCCGGTAGCGATTAACCCCCTGACGGAAATAACGTACGACCGGCAGCGAACCGAACGATTTTTCGCGATCCAAGCTCGATCGCGAGAACACCGACACCTCCGCCATGGAATCCGAAAGAGGACGACGCGTAAGTTATCGGTCGAAAGGATCGATCTTCGGGAATCTGTAAAAGGTTCGAGTGAGAGAGGTCGCCACGCAGCAAGAAGCGCGGGTCTCGTGCCCACGAGCCGAAGACTGCGTTTACGGCCGCCATCGAGATCCGCGTACCACCCCGCGACGGTGATCCGTTCTAGCGCCAATCGATCGATGGGCTTCGATAGGGGACCCCTCGGAGATCGATTACCGTTCTTCGATGCCGCTAGTATACGAAACAAAATATTTCTGTGTGATTCCATCTACGTTACTGGTTCGATTTGAACTTCTATCGGTGTCTCTATTAAACCCGATAGGGGTGGGCCGCTTCGCGGATATTCCTTGTAAGTCCTAAATCGCGGGGGTCGCGTCCAGGCTGAGACCAGGGTTCTTCTGGGACGGAAACAGAAACGCGAGAGAACGAGCCACTTGTCACCAAGTTTACCGTACTTTCCGGCGAAAGGAGTGTCGAACCCTTTTCAAACGGCCCCGAACCGGTCGGCTGCCGATCGTTTTCGGCTCCTGCGCCTCTTTTTATTTCTCCTCTTCTTGTTCGTCCACCGCCACTACCGTTGCTGCTGCTTCCCAGGGATTCGCGGTGCTAACATTCCGCCGCTGTAGCGGGGGACCCTCTTCGGCCAACGAATATCAACTTTCCCACAGCTCGTTTCGGAGAGCGCGCATTCGAAACTTCGAGCCCGCCCCTCTTTCGTTTCGCTTCGCTTAGTCTTATCGGGAGCGAAGGGAAGCATACGGAGAACATAAATAGGTCTCGGAGAATCAATCGACGGAATCGCGCGTAAATCGATACCCAGACTCGACAAGATCATCCTTGATCGCGATCGAAACGTGGGTTCGTTCGTGGTACGGGGTGTTGATCAAATTTGTTGCTCGAATTCGCGATCAGAAATGCGTTCCGGGCGGCTTATAGTTCGCGAAATACCCAACTAATCGATCTTCATCTTGGCGTATCCAATCTGTGTCCTCAAAGGACCGATCGAATTCGACCAGTTCCAGGAACAGATTCTCTAAAGACCCTACCGAGATGGTGAAAAGCATCGGTCGACCAAGTATTCTTGCTTTGATATCCCCCAAGTGGGCACGCGGATTACACCGTAATAGCTTCATCCACTATACGAGGAGGATCCGTACCTCGCGAGGGTCAGCTTTTTCCAGAACAATGTTTTTTAAAGACCACGAAATTAAGAAAATAACATCTAGAAAATTCGCAAGGTTCGGGGCTCATCGAGGCCAACCAACCAAATACTATAAAGGAAGTCGATGACACGAACGAGTCCCAACTGGATCCGATTTTTGATCGCGAGTTCCAGCGTCCCAGGTCGCGTACGTGCGCGAAACTTTCCCACAACAGGCGTTTCGTCGCCCCCACGCTCCTTCCCTTTTAAAGAGCTGGAAGGCCCAGCACAGGTTCGCGATCAGACCGAGAAGGAACACGAACACAAAGACTGGAGAGAAAGAACCGATGGACCGAGTGGCACGGAAAGCTTTTTCTGAAATCACGGGACCCGTCCTTACCTCCCTGTACCCGTCTCCCTTTCTTCTCGTTCGTCTTCTCGCGACGCGCGGTCGGGCATCAATAATTTAACGCCCTGTCGTACCGATAACCCTGCACAACTCACGACGGCCAGCAACGAGGAAAAGGAAGAGAGACGGAGACAACTGAGAAAACTGAACGAGAGGAGCGGCGGTCGTATCGCATACGA